GTTTAACTGTCAACAGAAAGGAAACATAATTTTTTTATAAAAGCTAGTATTGAAATAAAAATACAACAGGGGACATTTCTCATGTTGTATACTGATTTCTTTTATATGAAATGGTATTATTCTACAGCTTGTCGAATAAGTATGTAGGGCTAAATATGGAACAAAATCATTGTTTAATGAATCACAAGTTTTGGATTATTTGTTTTCATATAAAAAACAAATAAATATTGCTTCCATAAACACAACCAAGACAGAATTTGAATCCCTGCAATTTACCAGAAGAAAGTCAAATTTCATCTAAATAAAGAATTCCACTCCAAACAACATGCTCACAGAAAGGGTAAACATAAGAGCATAAGAGAAGTGAGAAATGGTCAGATGATGTAGCCACAACAAAAGTCCACTATCAGGCTGTCCACATGTTGATGTAGAGTAGAACCACACAGCAGCTGCAGTCCCTGTGGCTAACGCAGTTTTCCTCTCAGAATGAATAAAGTATAAGTTTGTCCAGAGTGTGAATGAAATATCTATAGTGCTGTGAGTTCCAGGTACTACGGTGAGTTAGTATATAGAGGGGCGGTCTCCAACAGAGCCACAGTGCCAAGTTAATTCACTTTCACTGTTTGCCAAGCCAATGAATAAAATATGATGCTCTAGTTTGTGGAAAAGCAAAAACAGTCTTTAATTCTGTCAAGAAGTTTGGTGAAGAAAGATTATTTGTGTATCATGTTTAATCAAGCTGTCTGGACTGGTGTGGTAAATTGATGTCTACATTGATCAGAACATAATAGAAATCCTTTGTGTTGTGATTTGTGTTTTTAAAGTTGCACTGTGTCAGTTTTCTGTTTTGTGTTTCTCCATGGACATGTTTTTGCTTTGTCTGTAATATTTCACATGGTATTAAACCTTTCTATCTTCACGGAGACCAAAACAGACCAGGTATTTTTGAGCTATAAAACCACCTGTAATTGAATAAATGTAAAGTAGAGCAGGTGACAGACCTCTAACCAGAAAGTTACATAGTGCACCTTTAAAGACACGCTATGCTTTTGTCAGGTACATATTATTGAACTATAACATGAGAAGGTCCATATTTTACATTTTGTTCATTTTAAACCACAATATTGATCTATATTGACAACAGAAATGGGTCCCATTTCTACAGAACTGACAGGCCTCCCTCTTCAAAGTGACCGTAGCAATAGATTGTTATTAAAGTGTCTCTATTTTGAAAAGTGACTATGTGATATTTTTGAAATCTATTTGTCATGATTTTTTCAAATAATCACAACTAAAGTATAAGGATGTGGGCGTACAGGGAGTAGGTGAAAACAGGAATTTTCCTAACATTTAAGACTAGATTGCAGTTTAAAAATACAAATTCGGGGGTTCGTCACCTGTTTGTTTTTATGGATATGCCATTGCTCTGTATGGAATGTTCTGCAGTACGACATTAAACAGCTCTACCTTACATTTATTCAATTACAGGTGGTTTTATAGCTGAAAAATACCTCAAAAAACAGGCATTCTGACTGTGAGCGGGGCTGCCTCTTCACAGATCTGACCTGTAACTCTCTGGTTTGGTCTCCATGAACATAGAAAAGTTTAATAGCATAGTGTGAAATATTCCAGACAAAGCAATAACATCTCCATACAGAAAATTTGATGGACCTTCCACCAGAAAGGTTACACAATGCACCTTTATATTTCTTTTCACATAGACTTTTAAGTCTCCATCTACTGTTTAGGTTCCTACTTTCTGCATGCAGCTACAGAAACAAAGCACCAAATATTTGCCTCCCTGGTGATTATTCTGCTCAAAAAATCATAAAATATTTCCAAAAGTTTGCACAAAATAAAATTACTAACTTCCAGGAAATAGGCAATACTGCTCTCCACTCTGGTCCAATCTTGGGAGTCAGTGGTGCAATGGACAGCACTCGCAGCCAGACTCTGGCCCCTGTCCACTGAAGGTCATCTGTGGGTGTGCAGCTCATAAAGGCAGTGGCCAGTAAAACCCTGCTGACGTGTGTGTGATGGTGACACAGTGACATTGAAGAGGATATTTAATGTAAGCTCACAAAGACGGCTCCTCCAACTGTTGTCTGTTGTCTGTTTGTGTAGTGACCTCAGTCTGCCAGGAGGGGGAATTCTGCTACACATGTCTAACCCCTCCAGATGTGTGAGTAAAGGATCTGTAACAAAATGTAGTTGTTAGTTTTGTCTGTTGAAGGAATATATGTAAATTCAACATATATTGAAAATTTGGCATTGATATTTTTAATATATATTGGGTTGTAGTTTACTTTAAAGTCCTATATTATTAAACAATGTGGATTCTTCCGAAATTTAAGTCATTATAGACTATTGTTACCTCATCATATACATACTCGAAGGTGTGTTTTGTTATCAGGCTTTCTACATCTTTAAGATCAAAAGCTTTGTTCCACCTTGTGATGTCATGAAGCAGTAGTTTTCAAGTTAACAGCTACCTCTTACCATTTGTTTAGGAAAGATTTAGTATTTGGGTCTGAAATCATTCAAATGATTCTAGTGAGTGTTTTCAGTTTGAGAGAAGAACTCAGCCTAATTATGCAGGGTTTGAGTGCTAAACATATATGAATGAAACAAAACACAACTTCAGGTATGTTTTTGATGAGAAAATAACAATATAACATATATCGGAGGGCGCCCTATGTAACTTTTACAATGAAAGGTTTGCCACCTCCTTTTCTCCACAGAGATGTAATCGCTTTGTCTAGAATATTCCATAGTATAGTATTGAATATATCTATCTCCATGGAGGTAAGCAGGTGATGTAACCAGATCAAGTTGCAGGTTAGCTCTATGGAGAAGTGACCCTGCCAATTTGCCTATTTGTGCATTTTCACTCTTTGCAGCACATGAAACTGCTTTGTTTGTAAAATGTGCTGTAGAAATAAACTGGATTGCATTATCGGTGTGGTAATTGGATAAACATGGCATGGAATAATGAGGGATATGATTTCTGCATCATTGTCCCTATATTATTTTTAAGAAAACACTAACCATGTTTCCTGGTAAGTTACAGTCATAATACTGGGTACTGGTACACTCTCCAGTCCCTCTAGACTAACCAGGCAGTTTAGGGTCAAGATTCAGCAATATTACCACAAAATAATAATCCAATTAGTTCCTGTTTCCATGAATAATTACAATATAGTTACAGTTTTCTAGTAACCATGATATATTTATCTTATTAAGTTGTGTTTATTGTGTTTTAGACCTGAAACTTTCGCACTTCGTACCACGTATGAAAATATTTACCCTTCCAAGAACCATGGCATAACAGGACTATGGACTACTAAACTATAGGACTAATCCATATCTAAACTAGGTCTAAAATGTTTAACTTAAATTAACAGGTACACCATCTTATAAAACAATTTTCCATCTGTTGTCCCAGTGTCTTGCCCAAGGAAACAACAACAGTGCTTGTAGTGTGAGTCACGCTGATTTCAAGGAATCATCTCCATTTTTTTTCCATGTATTAGAGGTCTTATATTATGCAAAATTGACTCTTGTGAGCTTTAAGCCATGTTAAAATGCTGTTATTTATCTAAAAGATACCAGAAGTTGTTTGTTTCTTTCACAATTATAATTAGTCTGTTTTCATCTCCAAATCTCAAAATGCTCTGTTCCACCTTGTGATGTCATATAGTGGTGGTTTTCAGGTTAATAGCTAACTTTTACCTTTTGTTTAGTAAATAATGGTCATTCCAGAGCTGAAATCATCCAAATGGTTTTACTGAAGGTGTACAGAGTTCAGAAACCCAATGGAGCACTTCTTGTATTACCACATGACATCACAAGGTGGAATAGTGCTTTCCTTTTGAGAGAAGATCTTAGCCTAAATATGCAGGGTTTGTGTGTTAAACATGTGTGAATGAAACAAAACACAACATCACGTATGTTTTTGATGAGGAAACAACATAACATAGGTCAGAAAATAGCGTCATATGGGCCTTTTAATCCATTGTAGTGTTATGTGTACAGGCTAGCACAGTAAAAATGACCCTGGGAAACAGTAGAAAAACAGTGCCTCTGCAGCAGCTGATGTGTGGTGGCAGGATGTTTGTGGATAAAAGCCTTGTTTTTTCAGACACATTACACTCTGAACTACAGTTTGCCTTCCTTTCCTTGGCTTTTCCTCTCCACTTTATATCTCTGTGCGTTTGACAGACCTTGCTGGGCAGTACGGCGCAGATTGGTGTGAAATTGGCTCTGTTATTTTTGGAGCAGAGTCATGGGGGACCGTCGGACCATCATCCTCTCTCTAATGAGCAGGTGATGGAGGCGTAGTAGTGGAGGGGGAAACAAGGAGGGGTGGGGGGCATGCTGTCTCAAATACCACACACATGAACAGATGAGAGAGAAGTGATAAAGCTCAGAAAACAGGAAAACACACAACAGTGCTGTGTGGAGTCTATGGTTTGCAGTTTATAGATATGTGTTACTGTTACCACACTGTATAACCAAGAGTATCCAATAATTAATATAAAGAGATGAATTTACCATCATTTGTGCACCTGGAAATGCTTTGTAGGTAAACACAATCTTTAAATTGATTTAGGCATAGAAAAAATGTAAAACTGATTGATATGAACAGTACTTCCTGTGGTCTCGAGACTTGGTTTTCCCACAGAAAATAATCATAATTTCAACCTGGAATAATTAGCAAAATGTGTTGAATCTCACGTTTGTTTGTTTTTTTGGGGGGGTTTTTTTCTCACTAGGTCCATTTAAATCAGTTTTGAATGGTTTTGAATGGTATAACTGTTTTGATTAATGATTTATCAATGTTGGCGTTGTAATATTTATGTCATGATTGAAAAGGAGTTAGTTATCTTAATGGAACTTTCTTTGATAAATAAATGTTAATTCAAATATATATTGTCTGTTATGTTTACAAAAGAAAAAAAAGTGAATTCTTCAGTAAGACAGAAGCAACGACGCAGAAATGACCACACTGCATGTATTTAATTCAAAGGGTTTACAAACCTAATGCCATTGTAAAACAGCCACGGACCTTCATGTACCACCAGAGATCAGAGAAAACAATCAAGTATTTATACCTGTCTATAAAATCAGACAACTGTCACATGCAGAGCCCAGAGATTTCATAACAGCCTATTTCTACTCTACAACTATGAGACTTACACAAGTAGCCAAATACTGCCCCCTAGTGTAATGTATTACTCCATAAGCAGGTCTTGCACAAAATTGTTCTTCAAGAATATAAATAAAGAGCTACATAAACTAGCTTGTTTTAGCATAAGTCAATTTAAGTTTATAAGACATAATATTCCCTGATCATTCATTTAAGTTTTTACTGTACACTACACTATATATAATCGTGCCATGAATTGCATATTTTCCCATGTTTTTTTACGTGTGCGCGTTTTTTAATTCTATATATATAAAAAAAACAGCAAATCTTTGTAGTGTTTTGTACCATTGTCTACAGCCCTAAATTTTCACTGTGGTTCTGTCTCGTGGCGGGCCAATGCAAGGGGCAAGGTGGTCCCACAGGGGCCGCAGAATTGGAACCTGGGAAATACAAAAATATGTTTAGCCTGAAATTCATTGTACATGAGATTCACGAGCTTGGCGTTAAACCTACTTGAAGCTCATTGTAGCTGGAGTGTCTTCCATGTTAAATTCAGCCACAGGGATCCCTGACGCTGCAGCGTGAGGAGCAAACATGGCTGCTGGGTACACTACAGAAGACGTACCAACCTGCAAACAGATTTAAAAATGATTATTGGTTTAAATTGGTTTATCTACTGAAGTTATACAGCACTAAACAACTTCACATCAGATCAAATCTATGGTAAATATTTTTTTGTGATTTTCAATGCTGCATGGTCCAAGTTAATAAAACTTTAAAAGATACTTATAGAAGAAATGATAATTACAGAAGAAAAGATGGATTGATATCTCAAGACTCACCAGTAGACTGTCACACTAACAAATTTTGAAGCATGATATATTACAGATATAATGCTATAAGTAATAATATTGAAACTACTTTATGCCTCTAATATAAAAATACAAAAATCTCATTACTTGTGCACAGCATAACTAGTGATCTCTAAAATAGTCCTACTCACCACAAGACACAGATCACAGTTGTCCATAACTTTCTCTACTTGTGTGAGGATCCGCGAGTCCAGAGTCTCCCCAAACCACACCACTGCTGGTCTCAAGAGGCCATGACAACCTTTCTGTTCACATCTGGAAAACGTAATACACACACTAGTGAAATTACTGATTCAGAGTAGTAGGTGTACTCTGAATAACTTTACCTTGGCAGTTGATCTACAGGGATCTGTGCATCTTGTGTGTCAGGGTCAGGAGCGCTGCAGATGGCATTTAGTGAAAAGTACAGTTTTTAAATAACAAATAACAGCAGTTAGACCTAATGCAGTTGTAGTATCTTTCTGTAATACACAAGGGTTTGCATTATGGTCCATTATGTATTCCTGTAGTCACATTTATTTGAAATGTCAGATAAAACTGACATTTCACTTTGTTCACTGATTTTCTATTACAGAGATATTCAGGTGTTATTTAGACATCTGACAGTGTGCTAGCTTCCCTGGCATTTTATACTGAATCAATGTGATTAATATCTATCCTCTGAAAAACTTCTACAGTATCATTGATGAAAACAGTTCAGCAAATGACACACGGTGGACTCTCACCCTTTGCCCTCCAAGGCAGCACAGATGGGGCTTTGGTAATTGGTTGTTTCATGGCCGCAAGTCAAACAACGAGTTCTGAACAGGCTTCCTAAAGGGACAAATTTGGAAATTAGTTATATATGGGGAATCCTTTTCACACCTACTTAAAACAAGTAAATGCGCCAAGGCCTAATTGTTCAAATAGGAACAATCCTATTTTTCTTGGATTAGAAAAAGGATTGTCTGATTGGCAAAAGAACAAAAAAAGACCAAAAAAAATAAATATATATATATATATATATATATATATATATGAAGATGTATGCTATTTCTTGTATACAAAAAACTGGTTATGGCAGCACTATATGATATTAAATAGTAGTAGTGGGTTTGTTAAAGGTACACAATGTAACTTTTCTGGTGGCAAAAAGCATATCAATCTCCAAGGCGACAAGCAGGTAGTGCCACCAGATTTGTGGAAAGGCCATCTTACAATCTTACAATAAGAATAAAGTAGGAATCAAGGTATATTATTCAAGGTACTTTGAGCAATAAACAACTGTAATTGCATAACTGAATATGATTTGTTAGATAGAACCTCCACCAGAAAAGGTCGATAGTATCCTTTAAGTATTTCTGAATTATTATGCCGATAATGTTTTGGTTTACCATGTATTTCTAGGACATTCTTGGACCCAGCTCTGCGATGGAGCTCGTCTATGTTCTGAGTGATGACAGTGACTTGGCGTCCCTGTTTGCTCAGTCTCGCCTCACACTCAGCGATGGCCAGGTGTGCGGGGTTGGGGTTTTTAGTGAGCATGACCTCTCGTCTGTAGTGATAAAACTCCCAGACACGAGAGGGATTTCGCGAGAAGGCTTCTGGGGTTGCAAGGTCCTGACATTAAACAAGAAAAAGAAATAACTGGAATATGTAACTAGAAAATTACACCAAGCCTTCTCTGTTACTTGCCCCAGTAAGCAGCCAAAAAGCAGCAATGTAACTCCATCACAAGCTTTGGCCTTTTTAAATCTAGGCTACACACTTAATTATTCAGACTGACTTTTAACATCTAGTAATGCAATGACACTTTATTTTGTACAGTACTTTTCATTGTTTCACAGTTTAATGTATTTTTGTTATAGTTTTATGCTTTTTTTGGTTTCACCTTGACGGTGTAAAGAACTTAAATAGGGCTGATTGATTTGATTGCTTTGCCTGAATACTTATATAGAAATGACTGTGATGCTTATGTCTGTATTGAGATGTCTGACCTGTGCTTGCCATGTTCTCCAAAATCCTCCAGCTCCTCTGAAGGTGGGCACTCCACTCTCAGCACTGACACCTGCTCCGGTGATAATGGCGATATTCTTAGACTTGGAGAAAATCTCCCTGAAGGCTGCCAAATCTACTCAAAAATACAACACAGTAAATAGTGATATGGGTGTTAAGGTGTTAAAAGGAGCACAATGTAACTTTTCTGGTGGAGAGCCTTTTGCCTGCTGGTCTCCATGGAGATGTTATTTCTTTGACTGGAATGTTCTACAGCATGGCATTACATGGACCTTACTCCATAGAGACAAGCAGGTGATGCCACAAGGCCAAGTAGCATGTCAAAGCTGTGGCGTGGTGGGTCTGATCACTGCAAGGACGCATGCTTTTTTAACAAATGAACACCTGCAATTGAACAAATCCAGGGTGGATATATGAAATATCATACTGTGGAACATGACAGGCAAAGCAAGAACATGGAGATAAGAAGGTGGCGGACCCTGCATAAGAAAAGTTACATGTGGCACCTTTATCTTGTTAAGAAAAAGGTGACGTTACCTGAACTAGGTCTGGTCATCTCGTGGCTAGGTTTCCTCAAATGAGCATACAAGCGTGAGCATAAAAGTCCTCTTCGGGAAATCTGGTGTAAGATCATTTGGGTTAACTGAGAAAAAAAAAAAAAAAAAAAAGTATTAAATGATCATATCATATAGAACTTTCTTCTCAGTTTGTTGTTGTAAATTAGTTTACGGCTCCAGTGTTTACACAGGCCATAATTAATGAATAATGTCACTTCCTACTACCACTACTGTCCTTTATTTTAACCCTGATGCTAAAAGCGACATTTAGCAACTGGTGGTGGTAGATACAACGCTAAGAAGTTGGCTAGCGATGACGTGAAATTATAAGTCCCGTCCTGAGCCAGTTTTATTTAACTCTAATAGCCCAGTAACAGTGCGTTTATGACTTACCTTCCTGTCAAGAGACAGCAAAGCGTGTACAAGGAAATACACACAAGCGGTGAGTAGGTTGGTTGCCAGATTGCGCTTTCTTTTTTCAGCTCCCGCCTATAAAAATGTGACTTCAAAGTGAGTCATGATTTTATGTGTGACTGCCTAAATCTTGTACAGCATACTGATAATAAAAAAAACCGTGTCTGAAAACATCTGATGTAAACTTCGTTTCACAAAGAGTAGATCTATTTTGCTTAGTAACAAAGGCGATGATTGCTGAAGTATACCTTGTTCTGGCAACATTGAACGCGAGACAGTACCGAAAAGTGTCCACAAGAGGGTACTATAGACTTGATTACTGCTTGTAGCATCCACTGGCTCATTTGGCAGGCACATAACACAATGTGGTTATTTACAAAAATCAAAATTAATCATTATTAAAAAATGAAACCTGCTCTACGTTTGTGGACTGATTTCTAAACCAAATGGCTCAGCAATAGGCCTATAGTCTACTCTAGAAATGATCTGAAACACTATAATGTAGATTTATATTTTCTTAAATAGTTTCTGGTCATCAAAGGTCTTATGTGGAAGGCTGTGTAGTGGTCTCATATTCGGGCAGACTCCTGGATCATCAGTGCGCCTATCTTTAGTCTGCAGGAGAAGACAGAAGAGTCTGATGAGGCTTCCCCTCCTCCCCTCCTTCACATTACAATAGCCTCTCTCCCCCTCCCACACTGCCAGCCCAGGCGGGTGCACCACTGGCTGCTGTTGCGGCGCCGTATCCCTCGCAGTCCCGCCGCTTGCCAGTGGACGCTGCCCCGCTGGCCGAACATGGCCGCGGCTCCGGAGGAGGATGTGGACCGCAGACCGATCCGGAGGGTCCGGTCCAAGAGTGACACGCCTTATATCAACGAGGCAAGGATCTCCCTGCACCTGGAGACAGGTAGGCAGCGCGTGTACGCAGCGTACAGCTGGACTGTTCCTCATGTCTGGGGGCGTTTTCTCTCACTGCACAGGGAAACGCACCCTTTTCCCGGAGAATGATCCGGACAGTGCTGCTCGCATGCTTTTGGCTTTCATTGTGCCTCTCGTGCTTCCCGTGGTCCTCTGCTGCACCTCATTGGGAGCTAACCATTGTGACTCATGCACTGACTGATGTGAAGAGAACATTTTTGCATGAGCCCGGTTTCACGTTGTCAAGCATTGTTAGATAAGCCCAAACCTCATTAACACGGCGATTCCGGTCCAAATCAGCTCATGAGGCTAAAGTCGGCTGCGTGAACGTAAACTTTGCCACATCTTTAGTATTAGCCTATTATTGTTGCTTTTGTGGGAGAGAGGTATGGATGTTGTGGCATGCTGAGACCCAGTTCAGTGTGGCGTGGAAACATTTAGGCTAGGCTTCACATATGCGCAGATATGACACTGTTTGCTATGTTGCTTTAATCACAACATGAATGCTTTCTGAGCCATACAATTAGGAAATTAGACAAACGTGGAATTTTGTGAGGAGCGGGTTAGTCACATGGTTTGACAATGTGCAAGTTGTGGAGCTGTCCAGTGCTCGCTGGTGCTGAAAATTCCATCGTGTACAGAGAGGACGAAGCTTTTCTTTTCTGCGCCGATCACCCACAGCCGTGACAGCCCAGATGTTTTTGTAATTTCTCACAAAGACTTCTTCCCAGTAGCTTAGCCTGGACCCTCCCACGGAACTGCTCAATGTGACAAATCCCAGCCTCATGAAGTGCATAGACCTGTCTGCTGCTCCGGCAGAAACTCAAACCTGTCTTTTTACCAGTTCGGAGAAGACAGCTCTGGAAATTTCCCAGACTACCCGTATTATTGTAGCTTTGCATTGTGTCGTACTGCTTGCTTAAACAGGTAGCTGCTTACAGTGCAAGCCATTACTCAGCATTTTAGCTCTCATGCTATTAGTCTACCCATATTTAAGACAGTCTTTTTTAATCTGTTTTTGTTGTTGCTGTTGTTGTTGTTTAGTAATCACTTGCAGGTCTTAGTAGCATGGTGGATTTTATTTTTATTTTTTCATCTTTTAAACATTTTTCTCACATTGTATACCTCCAAAATTCAACCCTTTCTCTGCATCTTGTCTGATGCACCACCTCTTCTGTGAGTGGGAAAACACAGACCTTTAGGGAGCGGCTTATTTCTCTAAGTCTCTAAGAGTCTCTAAGTTGTAAATTGATTATTATTAAATATGATTAGATTTGTCTTTATTCTGAATGTATGCAATAGATTTATATTTGACCTAAACTTACTTACTGTCCTTAATAGGCTTTAAAGTGACTTGTTTTCAGACAGAACAATTAATGTAATGTTAAAGTGCTGAACATATGTGTGAGTTAGTGACTTTGTAAGGGTTTAGTAAACAGAATTTGTCATTAGGCCTTGGACCAGATGGTACAATGTGGCTGTTGACCTTTTCCCCTGGCTGCACACTCAGCTTATTCTATTACAGCTGTTTTAAACTGAGCAGTGTGACACTCTGTGGTACAGAGTTATGCCCCATTTATCTAAATTGAACAGAAGCTGGTGGTTTAAGAATGACAACAAGTACAGTTGATTACTCTTCTAATGTTCTACGAGAAAAAAATGAATGAAAATATAATACTATATATGTTTCTTTATATTAAGTTTTTTTTTTAGTTCTGTGAATCTGCTTAAAAACAAGACACTATCACAGGTTGCACTCTGAGTACTGCAGTGGTAAAAAATTTTTAGCAAAACCATAAAATGGATAAAACAGGTTATATTATACAGATAAGTTAATATTTCTGCAATCTTAGAAAACTGTCAAACTCCCCCTGTGTACTGTAGTCTAGCCTCCTTGACACAGTACTGTACATGGAACCTTACTTCTGAGTTCACTCTATTTCAAGGCCTTGGGGGGAGTTCGAAGTACCAGGGCAGAATACAAAAAGCAGAAAGAAAACGGCAAGTCTTTAAATGCAAAGCCATACTTCCCCTGGCTGCTGCCCTGCCTCCTAAAAAGACATGCTTGAGACCCTCCCCTCCTCTACACAACAGTCTATCTGCTTAGACAGGCTTGCATTGTGCTCAAGGCCAAAACCTGAAAGAAGGGAGTCTTATGTTAAAGAAAAAGTGGAAGATGGAAAAAGTTGAAAGTACTTCAAATTCATCAATTATTTGATGCAGTTTAGCCTGAATATTACAGATGGCATACTGTATTACTGTGGATTAACAGGATTTATGTTTTGCTTTATTTTGCTGTTTGATATCAGATACATTAAACACTCATTATGTTTTTCACATAGGAAGGAACCATATTTCACTATTTTATGATCTATGTTATAATGTTGTTTCCTCATCAAAAACATACCTGGAGTTGTGTTTTGTTTCATACATATTCATACATACATATTCATTCATACATGTTTAACACACAAATCCTGCATATTTAAGCTGAGCTCTTCTCTCAAACAGAAAAAGCTCTGCACCACCTTGTGATGTCATGTGGTAATAAAGGAAGCGCTCCACTGTGTTTTTAAGATCCACATACCTTTGCTAGAATCATTTGGATAATTTCAGCCCTGTAATTGCAACTCTCTGCTGAACTAAAGATAAAAGGTAGCTCCTAACTTGAAAACTACCACTTCATGACATCACAAGGTGGAACAGAGCATTATAAGCTTTGGAGATGTAGACAGATGAATAATACAGGATTATTCAAACATATGTGACTGAAAGAAAACACAACTCCAGGTAAGTTTTTGAGGAAGTAAAGGTATTGTAACATGGCCTAAAGATCAAGAGGGAATTTTATGTAATATAGGATCTTTAATTATTACTCAGACATCACTATTGGAAAGTAATGAATTCCACTACGTCAGGGAGGACGATAACAAAGTCATGGCTAGTAGCTACTCAAATTAAGGTTTCACTTGTGTGACAATGGTTAAAGGTAGGGTAGATGGACATTTTATTTCAAATTTCATAAATATGGTCTGTGAGCAAAGGTAAACATGGCCAAATCAAACACTGATTTTAATGTTAACACTATTCTACTATTCTTCACTGTTATTTGTCGACATTTACTTATTCAAGCATCCTAAATTTGGCAGTAAATTATGACTGTTAATGTGGTTTGTTTTGCCCCTAAGTGGAAAAATGTGTGGCAATCAAACTAAATCGAATTTTGCCATTTTATAGTTTTGGCACAGATCTGTTGCACTCACTAGGACTTTAGGGCTTTCTGTGCTGAGGGTTTGGTTGGTCTGGCGTGTCCCAGTTAAAATTGTTATTCTTATTTTACTTTCTTGCCTTGGGCCTTTTTATGGAAACATGTAGACCTGTATCTATAACAAATTGTGAAGCATAGATATACTGTGATAAATGATAATATTGAAATACTTTATTATACGAGATAATCCCAGTAAACCATTTTAAATAGTGTGTTTAGCGATCACTTTTATATTACAAAAATGCTCCAAATCTCCACACTTTTACAAAGAAAATGTACCCATGCCAAATTTTGAGCTCCAAAATGTATTGTTCCAGCTTTCATATATTGAAAGATAAGTTGATATAGTATTATTATATTATATTATATTACATTATATTATATTATATTATATATATATTATATTATATTATATTATATTATTATTATTATGACAAGTCTAGAAATATATGGTTAACATCAGCTTACATTTATTTTAACTATGCTTCTTGCAGTAAATCTATGGGAATAGATTTTGTTTAATACAAAATAGACCGAACCACCAACAGTAAGCTAACTTCTAATGGCTATCCTGTGGTGTTTTCGTCTTTATCTGCCAATGACGGGTACCTATCAAAACAGATGAGATACAAAGAGAGAGGTGACTCATATCCTTGTGATCTGCCAAGTCTCACATTCACACATTTCTTTCAAGGAAGTGTACACAAGCTCACACACACACTCACTCAGATACATAAGCACACACACACACATACACAGGCTAGGCGGTGCTGTCCTGTCACTTTGTATTAGCCCACCTCTGAGTGGTTACAGGAGGGGAGGAGGGGAGTCCGGCACCCCCAGTGGTATTACAGGAAAATAAGGAGCCTCAGAGCAAGTGAACCTTGAGTTAGATTTCACATGAAACACATTTTCTTCTCCATGAGCACAAATATATATATATATATATATATATATATATATATATATATATATATATATATATATATATATATATATATATATATATATATATATATATATATATATATATATATATATATATATATATATATATATATATATATTAGTGCTGTCATGCGATAAAAAAAATTGAGAGATTAGTTATGATCTGTAATTAATTAATCTAATTAATCTCATTTTAATCTCACCTAAAAATTGCTGAGAAAAGCCTTCAATTTGAGGTATTTTCATTTAAATTCATTATTACATTATTGTGGCAGATCAAAAGACTGATATAGATTTTAAAAAGTGACTTTATAAAGTCATTTATTGTTTAACAAATCTCTCCAATTTGGCTGTTGAGCCCAAGTCTCCATGAATAAGAAACTGTTTGCTGTAAAGTAGCAAAGATGAGGAAATCTGAACATAATAACTTTTGTCTACTTAAAGACAATAAAAAGTCTAGTCTTTCCTTAACCATATTAAAAATATTATTGATAGAGAAATGCTTTATATATGAGATCACTGGTTTTAGTCCTTGTTTTAGTCCTGGTTTAGACCTGCTTTAGTCCTAGTTTAGTCCTAGTTTAGTCCTGGAATGGATTAATCCTGTTTTAGTCCTGGTGTTAGTTCTGGTTTAATCCTGGTTTAGTCCTGGTTTAGACCTGGTTTTAGTTCTGGTTTTAGTTCTGGTTTTAGTTCTGGTTTTAGTTCTGGTTTAGTCCTGGTTTAGTCCTGGTTTAGTCCTGGTTTAGACCTGGTTTTAGTTCTGGTTTTAG